ATTATACATTTGAGAGAACAATTTATCATTTTTGATCCTTTAAATATTTTTCCATCTCCCTATGGATACGACACCCCAAAACTGTGCTACAACTACCGCGTTATTCTTTGGGGGTAATCATCATCAATTACAACAAAGAAGGAAATGTATGTGAAGTAAATTAATACAAGGGTAATTCTGAAAATTAGATTATGATAGTAGGGTGTAATGGTCCATTCAATTTTAAATGGTGGCTGTCAAATTGCATTGTATAAGGAAAAACTTGACTCAAGAGGAATAAACCACCAATCCACATGGCTCGGCTAACTGCCGACTCGAAAACGGTTCAGCTTATATGGTCATTCGACTTATGAACAGTAACTCAAACTCCCTCTTTTATATTTAGTTAGAAGAGAACAATTAAATTTCGTAGAACAACATTTAAAGCTTATGTGCTTTTTGAATTCTTAATTGATGTTAATTTTGTTTGGATACTTGAGTTTGCTTTTTAATATGGATAGACAAGAGACCATCATTAGTTTGAATGCTCAAATTAATTTTGTCACTTTTCAGAGAGTTCGTCACTTTTTTTCAGTATTTGATGTTTTTTTATTGTTCGTCACTTTTTGAGATTTATCACTTTTTTGGAACGTAACAAGTCAAATATGAAATCTTTTTCATTGGGGATGTAGATCTACAGTTTGATATTGAAGTATCTCAATGATTCATTGACATATGAGAATCAAGAAATTTGATCCTACGAAGAAATTTCACTTTTCTGATTTTTTATCACTTCCAACTTATTGGGAGTAATGTTCCTAAAAATGAAGTTTTGTTCTATTTTTAGTTAATAGAAGTGAAGTATAATCACAAATAGACAACATACAAAAGAAAATCAACCATCCCTTGAATTTTTTTAAAGGTTTTGATCGATTTTAAATATTATTTTACTTTTTGGGGGAAATTGTCACTTTTTGTAGTGTGTCACCTTTTTAAGTTTTTGTCACTTTTTATTTTCGTCACTTTGTTGAACTGATTCCAAGATTTTGATTTGTATTTTGTCACTTTTTTTAGTGTTTGTCACTTTTTTTAGAATTGTCACTTTGTTAAGTTTTTGTCACTTTTTAAATTTATGTCACTTTATTGAATTGATTCCAAAGTTTGATTGTTGTTTTGTCACGTTTTTGAGTTTTTATTATTTTTTTAATTTCTGTTACTTTATTTAATTGATTCCAAGGTTTTGATTGATGTTTTGTCACTTTTTGTATTGTTACTTTCTTTAGTTTTTGTAACTTTTTAAATTTTCGTCACTTTATTGAACTGATTCCAAAGTTTTGATTAGTGTTTTGCTACATTTTTTAATGTTGGTCACTTGCATAAATTTGTCACTTTTTTACATGTTCGTCACTTTTTTCTATCATTTTTTTGGTCACTTTTTTCTATCACTTTTTTGGTTACTTTTTTAAGTGACAAAAAACACTTTTTAATAAAAGTGACATTGTATCACTTTTTTGTTATAAAAATGTGACACTTAATTTTATACAATATTTTTTTCTTTCAAAATACATTTTATATGATTTTTCAGAAGACATCTAATTTTAGGAGTATTTTTGTAAGTTGCCCGTTTAGGTTTTGGTCAATGTTGGATTGGGTTTCGGTTCCAACTATTAATTTAAATCAATTTCATCCTTAATCTATTAGATAACATCAATTACATCCTTAAACTATTTTGGAAGTTAAGTTTGGTCCTTAAACATCAATTAAATCCTTAAACTATTAGGGAAGTTTAGTTCGGTCCTCCAACTACTAATAAACATCACTCATATCCTTCAACTATTAAGGAAGTTAAATTCGGACCTCCATCTATAATTTAACATCAATCTCATCCTTCAACTAATCTTGAAGATCAATTCAGTCCTCCAACTACCATTTAACATCAATTTCATCCTTCATCTATTAGAAAAGATCAACTCGGTCCTAACATTAATAAGTATCATCAATTACATCCCTCAGCTATTAGGTAAGTTCAATTTTTCTCCAACTATTAATCAACGTCAATTAGATCCTTCCACTATTAGGTAAGTTCAATTTTGTCCTAAGCACAACTAATTAACGTCAAATTTATCCTTCCACTATTAGGGATGTTCAATTTTGTCCTCCATTTACCGAGTACAATCAATTTCATCCTTCGACTATTATAGAATTTCAATTTTGTCCTCCAACTATTATTTAACATCAATTTTATCCATCAACTATTTGAAAGTTCCATCTAAAATTTATCATCAATTAGTAAATATCAATTCGGTCCTCCAACTATTTAGTGATACAAGTTACATCATTTAACTAACAGTTTAGTTCAATTCGGTTCTCAGACTATTATTTAACGTCAATTACATCCTTTCCATATTAGATTAGTTCAATTCGATCCTCCAACTATTAGTTACTATCAATTTCATCCTTCAACTACAATGGAAGTTCAATTCGTTCCTCCAACTCTTGTTTAACAACAATTTAATCCTCTATTTATTAGGAAAGTTCGATTTGGTTCTCCAACTATGATTTAACTTCAATTACGTCCTATAACTATAAGAGATGATCAATTTGATCCTCCAACTATAATTCATCATCAATTACATCCTTCATCTATTAGAGAATATCATTTCGGTCCTTTAACTATTAGTTACCATCAATTTCATCCTTCAACTAAAAGGGAAGTTCAATTCGATCCTCCAACTTTCATTTAACATCAATTTCATACTTCATCTATTATTAAAGTTAAATTTGGTCCTTCAAGTTTGTGTTAGTTTTCCTGTTAGGCTGGTTTTTATTTGCTTCGGATTTTTGTTGGGTTGGGTTTTACATTGGGTTGGGTTTATAAGGACTGGGTTACAATTTGAGTTTTGGGCACTGTTGGACTGGGTTGGGTTTAGATGTTCTGGGTTATAAATTGGGCTTCGGTCAGTGTTGGACTCAGTTTTTGTTTGGGTTTGGGATCACGATGGTTTGGGTGTGAGTTAGTATTTGGCAGGTTTCAATTTGGGTTAGTTTTCGCTGTTGGGTGGTTTTATTTGTGTTGGATTTGATTGTTGAACGGTGTTGTACTCTTCCCATAGTGGGAAAGAGTGGATGGGAAGAGTACAACACCGTGGCATAATAGGGGAAAAGAATAGAGCAAAGTGTCACAAAAAGTATATTGCTGAAATTGACGAAACGACAGCGTTTTTGTCATCCAAATGACAAGCAACGAAATTTGAACAAGCCTCCTACAATGTATAGGAAACAGTATTATCAAATATATTTATATATTTTTTACAATGTATTTATTATAGTTATTTCAAAAAAAAAATAGTATCTATTAACTTTCAAATTTTATAAAATTACAAAATTAAGCATAATCCATATAGTAGAAAATATTTAAAATTTTAAATTATGAAAAGATGAATGATTTTGAAAATATCAATAAAATTATAGACAAAACATAATTAATTCAACTAATTGATATTTTAATTATAAATAATTGAAAAATGACCAATACTTCAGCTTTTGTCGTAGTCTTCAACATGACACGTGGACGTTAGTACATGTTGGACAAAGTTAAACTATAACATAAACCGGTTAAATACATTTCTCATTCACATATTCCTCGAACACACAATTTATTGCTCAATTTTTATCGACAACATTCGTGTGGAACCGCTCCCAAAGGAGCACTGCGATCAAAATCAACAACGTAAAGCCAATCATTCTCCTTGTGAAACCAAGTTTACAGCTCCTAGATAATGCCTATTAACAATAAAATCATTTTCTACTACGCCTTTGATGTCAATATTGAAGTTTGATACACACGTGCACCCGCAAGCACAGGGTAAAATATATTCCACTTTCGATCCGGTTCTTGCAAGAATCAATTCGGATCAGCCACTGTGTTTACCACACTACAAATAAATCCTCATTGAAATTGATATTAATGATAATCAAACTCCATTAAATACTGTCCGCTCCTTTCATGCACGTCTCAAAATTTAACCACACAGTACAGACATAATGTGATGGAAGTAGTACCAAAAATAACTTCATCAGTCAACTTAAAACAAAAAAATAAAAAAAACAAAAGATTGAAAATCCTTGAGCGCCATAATAATAATGATTATCCTCACTCTTAAATCCAAGTACAAAACCAGATGACGTTCTTAGATGACTCTCACCATTGTAATTTCAGATGTTGATAGGAACACAGAAAATTTTGGTAATACTGATTTGGTCTAGAAGAGAGTGCCAAAGTTAAGTATGCAACCCAGAAACAACTCCACTAGGGCAATGCATAACCTAACTTCAACTCGAATCTTGTGTAATCCTTCAAACTGGCAAACAGCATCTTGGATGACTGGAACATCCTACATTCAACACCTGCAGACCTGCAAAGACGCAATTACATGATACTTCTAACCATTATCTTACATACTAACCGATCCATTAGAAATCGAGGAGCTTTGCAGTAAGTACAGCCTAATGTCTACTGCTTGACATTCTTTCCTTGTGCCTTGAGCTTTTCTGCAACAAGTTCATCGGATAATGGTAAGTAGTAGATACGAGGGGTTGCTTTGGTTTTCCTGAAGAGATCGTCCAAAGTGACAATTGGTGGGTCAACTTTCTCGGCAAGTGGAGGTGGTGGCGGAAGATTAGGTCGTTCCCTCGCCGGGAGTGGCTGTTCCCTTTGCAGGGGTTCCCTTTCTAGTTGTGGGCGTTCCTTGGCGGGAGGTAGGTTAGCCAACGGAGGTGAAGGAAGAGAAGGAGGTGGAGGAAGATGCTGCCTCTGAGGCTGTTGGTGTAGAGAAGGCTGGGGATGCTGCGCGGTGGGATGAGCAGGAGGGAAGTTAGGAGGAGCACTACCTGGAGTCGCAGGAGACAGGGGAGGTGCCTCTACCCGTGTTTTAACTTCTTGAGGATCAACAAACTCGGCTACCAAAAAGCGTCCCCCATTTGGAGGCCATTGGAGATTGTACACAGCATTACGAGTTTCTACAGCTTCTTCAACAGAAGAATACTGCATGCACAAAGCAATTACTAGTTATTTGATCTATTGAACTCTGAATAAAAAAATGCCAACTCAGAAACAAGTCCCTATAAAGAAATCTTCATATTTAAACCAGTAAAATGGTTGTGTATAATTTCTCAACCTAGTGCAACATTAAGCCATTGTTCGAGCCCCATTTTATCAAAAAATAATTTTTTCAAAACTCATTTTCAACCCCATTCTCCAATAAAATAATTTTACACGTAAATTGCAAACTTTTTCTTATTTTTCAACCACACATTCTCCCAAAAAAACACTACTCCAAAATTCATTTTTTTCCTCAAAATGGGCCTCAAACAAGGGCAAAATATCAACGTAGACTCTGAAAAAAAAAAGAATAGAAACAGAGTCCTCGGAGAAGAGAGAGAAATCAAACATACAGAAATATAGCAATGGGTTTTGATGGGATCCATCCAGAAATTGGTGATTGTGCCCGTTTTTCCAAGTAGTTCTTGAACTGCTTTCAAAGTAAAAGGGCGCAGAAAATTATCAATTCTGAGAGCAGTAGTGTGAGGCTTTGCTGATGGTGGAACTGCCACAAAAACAACATATAAATTCTGTTCAGAATACGAAGTGATATTCTCCCAAAAAAAAAAAAAAAAAGATGCACAAAGAAACATGACTACCTACCCACACGCTCCTTCGGTGTTTGTTCGCTGACTGTAGAGTCAGATCTAGAAAAGCTGCGCTTGAAAGCAGGCCTAAATGGATCCTTAGGTGTAATAGAACCCACTATATTACCACTTTGCAGTTCAGGAACCTTGAGGGCTTCTGAGTTCCACCTTCGCTGCCTCTTTACAACATCATTGTTTCCAACTGCTCCTTCATCTGTAAGGTGATCTCGTTAAATAATTTTCATACAGCAGGCGGAGGCATAAAAGCTGCAGAAATTGCAGGGTTACTGCTAAACTGGAGTTTCCAAGCCATCAACAGTCAAAAAGCCATAACCTATAACGACATTCAAGCAGAGATAACATGGTGGAACAAAGTGCCTAATCCATGCAACAGCTTGACTTGTGTGGTCAACCAGACAATTTTTGGATGGTGTTTTTTCATATTAATTTATTTAGTTTAGAGAAAATTAATTACAACGTAATAATAGCATATTTTGGAAAGTAATGAAGTTGAGAAAAAGTAAGTAAACCAATATGACATATGGTTCAGAAAAACAGCCATTTGCACCACAAAATTCAACCAAGTCCTAAATTTAATAACTCGCCCATATTAAATTTCTCAACTTGAAGACCAAATTCTTTAGTAAAAACTTTTTAAGAGTTTGATGATACTTGGAAGGCAGGTGGAGCATAAAGTAGGGGCAGCTATTTCCTCGACGATAAAAATTCTGAAGTAAATACTTCTCCAGAACATAGATGCCATATATTGCAATTATTTTTATTAGTTTAATCCCTTGTTTGGCTACTGTTTATAAATTGTTTATGATCGGTCAAACTACTTTTTATCCACATATTTCACGGAACCCACAAGTACTACTCACTTACCCATCACTCGTTTCGATCTATTTACAATTTAAACCATTTATGAACGACTCCCAAACATGCTTTAAGTTACACATCACAATTCATTTTCACCTCCCACTTAAGAAAAAAATTTTACATTGTCATACAAACCTTTCATCCAGCTCCTGATGTTACTTATGCTCTGACACAGTTCTGACGAAACTAGAAGCAACAGAAAGGAAGGACACCTTGTAGACGCTATAAATTCATCATAAATAATACCTCTATCATCTTAAAAGATCACATTCACACCATCTATGCCACATTTTCAAATGACACATCAGTTCTCACAAACCAAAAGCAGAAGGGTCTAGCTATAGGACAAGTACCTAGGATGTACGAGCCTAATGGTATTCAAAGCAAATGAGAAGATTGAAAGCAATGAAGTAGAAAACAATCGCGGTGTTATATAGCTTACCTATAGATTTCCTTTTAACGGATGTCGGAGCAGGTTCATTCTCGATTCCAACACTAGAAACTAAAGGCTCAGCTATTTTATCATCACCGTCAACATCAACATGATCTTCCTCTTTCACAACAGGTAGTTCAGTTTTCTCACCTCTATCTCTCATTTCATCAAAGTCTGACTTAGAATCCATCGGTTTCCTCTCCATTGTATCGTCCTCTTTCATAGTGGGAATTTCAGTTTTCTCACCTTTCTTTCTCATTTCCTCACAATTAGATTTAGAAACCATCTGTTTACTCTCCAATATTTCCTCTTTCATGGTATCATCAACAGAGATTTGGTTTAGACTTAACTTTTCTTGAGAACCCAATTTTCCAGTATTGTTTTTCTTGAGAGTTCCTATATTTTCAGCATTACTGCCACCTGCCTCTTCCATAGATACCTTGTCATCACATGACTCTTCGACATTCATGGGATAGGATTCACTGCCATCAGGGACGACATTGCTGGGCGATAACTGCACCATCTCAGGCTTAACTTCTAGGAATTTGACATCATCAGCAACTACGTCAACTTTTAATTCATTTTTCTCAGTAGTGGAGACAGATTCAGTAGAAACATAATGAGAAATTACTTGAACCCTTAAATCAGAGTTGACCTCAGATACCTGATAGTTTATACCAGATGAGTTGATCTTTGCGTCCATGTGAAGAGACTTCAAGCCATCATTTTGAAGCTGCACCTCTGACTTCCTGGTTTCAGTCGGGATTTCACAATTTTGAGCATTTGACCCACCCAAAGGTACCATAGACCCACCACTTTCACTAACCATGGACACCTGACTATATGAGTCAGACAGGTTCAGCTTAGCATCCTGCTTAGAAGACTTCAAGTCATCATCATCATCATCATCATCAATCTGCGCAGTTGAATCTCCATCACCGCTCTTTGTTACATTGATATTTATGGGTTGCACATTAAATGCTGTTACGGACTCCAGCCCCTCAACCATACCACCGGTTTCCAAAGTAGTAACCTGCTCGCTTTCCACCCTAACAGAATCACTTCCATGGATTAATTCCTCTTCTCCTAGTTTTCCTTTATCCAGTGTGCCTCTGCTATCATCAACCTCAATCTCAGGCATTTCGCCATCTCCCTTCTCAAAAAAGTTGTTTCCAGTGTCCTCACGATCCTTTGCTGTTTCAGAAACTAACTTATCGTGTTTAGACTGTAACTCAGGCTGGGGAGCAATACCAAAACCATCATCAGTATTTTCCTGGGCATTTTCAGTTTCATTGCGAATAGCTTCATCCAACCGCTTTACCAAATCTTCCTTCAACCCCTTTACTGTTAATTTACGTCTCTTTAGTTCTTCCTTTAGCTCAGTGACCTTCCATTGATCAATTGGCCTATTGTCAAGAATGGCATATGGTGACGACATCTTGTATGATACCAAATTACCCTTCAACAGGAATCTTACCCTGATTAAAACAAAAGCAAATTTAAAAGAAGGGTTCCAATTCAAGTAAAACAACAATCCAACGGGTCATAAGCACACAGTAAAAGAGCAATGTAAAAGAGTCAATAGCTATAATAACTAATAGTTACATCGAACTATTATCATACAAACAAATATGCAGGAAGTACAAGACTCACCCCCAAAAAAGAAAGAAAGGTGATGAAAAAGAGCCCCAAAAGTTTAAGTACTTAATGTGAATAAATGTGCAACCCAAAGGAAGAGTAAGGAAGACAGCATAATGCACCTAATACTATAAATTATTTTAGGCATAAAAAGATAGTATATACATGATTCACAAATTGTAAGCTTTTATTTTCTACAGCTAAAAGGAAGAAATAAAAACCTAATAACTCCCCTCATCATACAACCAATTCCATTGTCCCAGATTACATTAGGATAGTTAAAGAAAATGAACAACATATTCACCTAAGATTCAGTTGAAAAAACACTACATTGTATATTACTTATCATCAGATAAGTAGGCAATATGTTCCCCCTTTTTTGGCCAATAAATTGCAATTATTTTTCTAATAACTGCCCACCAATAAGTGCTCCGCGCCTCTGTCAATCCTTCAGCCAGACGTAATGTTATTAGGCTTCGAGAACAGGGCTCTAATCCCACAAGAAAAGAAATTATACAATCTTGCGAAAGAGGAAAAAGGGCATTCTCCATATCAAAAATTTGACCCAAAAATCACTTTATTGACAGACTTTATTCATTTCACACATATTCCAAAATGGATCCCAGGTCTTTTCACCAATTCTAGGCGAAAAATGAAAACCAAATCAAAAGAATAATACGGCAAGAGATTTGCATGGAGAAAAAGTGAACAACAAAAAAACATTTGATTTAACACTCACAGATGATGACGCGACACGATTTGCAGCGTAGGAACTTCAATAATCTAACCCACACTTCACGATGAAGGTGTGGAGATACAAAATCCTAGTTTCATCACAACACAAAACAAAAATCAGATTTAAGAAACCAATAGAACAATTTTAAAAGAAAAAAATAATTCCGATAAACAAATTAATTGAGCGAGCAGTCGAATTAGGGCTTTTTTTCCTTCTTCGTTCTCTATTTGTGTGTGCTCATTTGTGCGTGTGTGCGCGCAAGAAAAACAAAGACGCGAGATAGCGGGGCGTGGGGATAAGACAGAGGGACTGATATGTGAAAATACAAGTACGTCCTTGGGTTTATATTTGGAAGTGGATTAATAGCTCTGTTTCATTACAATATACTCCATACTTACGGAAAATCATAGAGTATCCTTCAATTTCAAACCTTTTATGCAAAAACTCTCATACCATTGTTTCGCACGGGTTGTACCTAACAATTAAAAAGGGTTCAGATGATTGTGTAAAGAACAAATCTCTTGAGACAAAGTCCCAAAAAGGGGTGCTTTATTGGTGAAAATTTACAATTGGAAATAAACAAAATGCCTGCAAGAGGCGCAAGTAATAAAAGAAGTGTTTTAAAGTTAAACTAAGAAATTGAAATTACTTATTCTCTGTTGAGAGTGTTTGATTCGATGTCCTCTTTCTCTATATCTTCATTTCCTTTTATATTTCCCTTGATAGTTTCTTTGTGAAAAACTGTTTGGAAATTGCTTAATGCCCTATAACTACCGACTTTCTTCATAATGTTCGACTTGTCATGGAACTGTCGTCTCTAACTGTTGCCATTACTCTTGTCGTTTAACTGCCTAAAACCGTGATTCTTGGATCGTGGGGTGTGATAAGGTTGCTCAATAACTGCTGTTCTGGATAACCATAAAATCTCATGTTTGCTAAGATCTTGGGCGATTTGAAGGTTTGGGCGAGAAGGAGCTCATTTGCTCTGGGCGATTTTAAGGCACTTCATTCACTCAGATCTCTGGCGTCTTGCAAGCTTGGACGATGATGGTACCTTGTTCGTGGGCCTCCACTGCATTCATTAATGGTCTTATTTGGGCTTTCATTCTGGATTTCCTAACTGAGTTTCATCCCTTGAACTATTCAATTTGGGATACATTTTTTGTATGTCAACAATTACCCCCCAGTATAGCAGAATTAATACCAATTATTAATCGTTGCCATATTTTTCCTTTATATTTTTCGGCAATACTTGAAATTTCCAAGAATTTCAATCATTATTTCCATTTGGCTGTAACCTTCTATAGCCTAAAAGGTGTAACGTTACAAACCCCTATAAACCAAAAAGACACGCCACTTCCTCGCGCCATTACCTTCACATCTTTACATCGTGCGTTCTATAAATGTCACTGTTCATTGTCTTACTTCTTCATTACGCCTATCAAGAATCTTCACCAAGACTGTATTTTGTTGCAAATGGAGACTCCACAAATCCCTTCTGATAACATCCTTAGTTTCGAAGATTTCCAAACCCTCATTGCCAGGCCATATATAAACTCGACTATTCTCTCATTAGCTAACCCAGACCTCAATGAATTCTATCTAAGTCCATCGTTGAAAGACATTGAATCTATCGGAAAAACGGCGGCAGGTCAGTTATTTCCTTGTACTCAAGATCCTCCATTTCTGAATCCGTTTCCTTTAAAGCCAATCCGGGAACGAGGTATTCGTACTTGGCCTAAATCTGATTCTACTTTTCCTTTTTTGCATGCACGTTTGGTAAAACATGGTCCCACCAAAGAGATTTTTGATCGTGCTGGGATTTCGGACTTACTAGAAATTGCACTTCATCCCCCAATCTATGACCATGTGCTTTTTTTCAGGCTGCATTGAGTTTTTGGTCTTCCGAATACAATACTTTTGTTTTTCCCCTTGACCTAATGTCTATCACTCTGAGGGATGTTGAAGCCCTAGTAAATCTTCTGCTCTTGGGCGATACCAGTTATCCTGGCATTTTGGTCACTAGTACTGCCCCAAAGTTTGACAAAAAACTTACTGAGTCCTATTCAGGCATGCAATGCCTTTATACTGCTTCTAGCTCCGAGCCTTCTCACATTGAGCGTGTAGCCTTTCTTCAGGTATGACTCTGTAAATATATCCTTTGTGTGCCTAGCATGAAACATTCGATGAGTTATTTACTCATAGCGCATGAGTTGGCATTTGGTAGATCCTTGAATCTTTTTTCGTTATTCTTAGCCGCCTTTTATAGATGCATGACTTCCCTCTAATTTCAGTTGAGAACTGGTGTATCTCCCACTGGCAGTGGGCCTCTTTGGCTCGCTCAATTGTGGTTGAGGGCATACTTTCCACAAATTGGTGCTCCATTATCCCATCCACGATCAGTAAGTTGTTATGGGCTATTCATCCATCAATTGAGCCCTGTTGATATGTCCACTAGGGACGTCTTCACATTTTTTTACAATTTGAATTCAACTTCTTCCTTTTTTCATTTTTCTGCTCACCAAATTCCTATTTATGTGCGACCTCCCTCTACCATGGATGAGGCGAGCAAGTACTTGCCAATCTGGAACAAACGCTAAAGCTGGGGTCGAGATATATGTTCTTCTTTGTTTTTCTAAGAGTTTGATAGACCATTTTCATGTCATAAATAAAATCGAGGCACAAGCCATTGATGCCCGTAATAACCATTTGACCAAAGGTTTTTCCTTGGTACCTTTCAATCCTAGTTTTGTCACTCACCTTCTTTTTGACCAACTTTGGCCATCTGTGAAACATAGACTCTTCACAACTGATGCCAACCGTGCCTTCCACCTGCTGGATCGGCCAGGGATTTCCTCTACTTCTCTTATTCTTTCCCCTCATGTATCCATCAAGGGTCCCTCTTCACCTACTCGCACTAAACATCTGGCCCTTCCATCTGCTTCTCCTCCTACTCATGCTAGCACAACCAAGGGTACTTCCAGTCGTAAACGGCCAGCCTCATCTTCACCGGTCTTGCCCGTTGATGATGATGGTGCTCCTCTCATCGTCAGGAGAAA